TTTTTTGTTAAAAAATGCATTTCATTCAATTTTGGAATCCAAAAAGTCACATGTGATTTGAGTGAGCTGTACAATAAGCTTCCCTATTAGATAATTAGATACTCCATCTATCTTATCTTAAAATGAGTTAAATGGAACACCATGAATAATGCCTTTAAACAAATAGTATACGTTTTAACCAGTGGTGTATCAATCATAACACACATTTCTGTTTCGTGCATCTATTATAACAAGTTCTATGGATCTTAGTTGTTTTTTTTATCCTTTATCTTTTATAATATAACTTTTATGTACTTGTCAAGGTTATGGCTCCTAGTAAGCAATGGATGCAACTAGTTGACCATCGGCTCGATGAAACCTATTTAGTAGAAGTGCAAAAGTTTTTGGATTATGCCTTCCAAAAAACAGGAGAAGAAAATGAAATACGATGTCCATGTGTCAAATGTTACAATACAACTTTAGGAACTCGTAAAACAGTTGAGACACAGTTGCAAGTATATGGAATAATTATGAATTATACTTTTTGGTATCACCATGGAGAACGTTTGGGTGAGCCAGTGTCAGAATCTGAATTTGAATTTGAATCTGAAGATGGTGATGAAGTAGAAGAATGTGAGAGTGAGGATGAAGTAGAAGAACTCTGAATTTGAATTTGAATCTAAAGATGGTGATGAAGTAGAAGAATGTGATAGTGAGGATGAAGTAGAAGAACTGTTGAGGGATTTATATCCTAATCTTGATGGGGGAACTACACACACTAATGGTGGTGATTTACTTGAGGAGGAACCAAATGTTGAAGCAAAATTTTTTTATAGCTTATTGAAGGATTTCGAGCAGCCTCTATATCAAAATTCCAAAGCTTCAAAGCTTTCCTCTTTGATTAAACTGCTTCACATCAAAATTATGGGTCGTTGGAATAATGCGTCATTTCCAATGTTATTGACAATGTTGAAAGAGGAGTTGTTGCCGAATGGCGCCAATTTGCCAAACTCATATTATGAGGCAAAGAAGATAATTAAAGAACTCGGCCTTTCTTACAACAAAATTGATGCTTGTACTAATGATTGCTTGTTATACTGGAAGGAAGATAGCCAACTCGATTCTTGCAATGTTTGTGGGGCGTCTAACTAGATGGAAGATAGCTACACATAGCGGAGAAACAAGGAATAAAAAAGGAAAAAAGATAGCATCAAAGAGCTTACGCTATTTCCCTTTAAATCCTAGACTTCAGAGGTTGTTTATGTCTACAAAGATATCTACTCTTATGACATGGCAGAAGGATAAAAGAGTTGATGATGGAATAATGAGGCACCCAGCTGATTCAATGGCATGGAAGTCATTTGATGAACTTCATCCTTCATTTGCGGCTGAGCCTCGTAATGTTCGACTTGGACTTGCTAGTGATGGATTTCAGCCATTCCGAAATTCAAAAACCTCACATAGCATTTGGCAGTGGTGCTTATTCCTTATAATTTACCACATTGGTTGTGCATGAAACAAGAAAAATTTATTTTGTCAATGCTTATTCCAGGTCCAAATGGCCAAGGAGATGCAATTGATACATATCTTCGGCCTTTAATAGAGGAATTGAAGGAATTCTGGGAAGTTGGTATTGAAACCTATGATGAGTCAGCTAGAAAGAATTTTAAATCGCATGCTTCTTTGTTGTGGACCATCAATGACTTTCCAGCATATGAAAATTTATCTGGATTGAGTACAAAAGGAAAATTGACATGTCCATGTTGCAATAAAGACACTTCATCAACTCGATTGTGTAATGGTAAGAAGCAGTGTTTTATGGGTCATCGGTGTTACCTTCCTCATAATCACAAATGGAGGAATGAGAAGAAGTCATTTGATGGTACAGAGGAGAGAAGACCCCCGCCACAAACCCGTTCTGGTATTGAGATACTTAATCAAGTGAAGGATCTTGAAGGGCTACAATTTTCAAAGGATCCAAAGTAAAGGAAGAAGATATCACATGAAAATCGAAAGGATAATTGGAACAAAAAAGTATTTTTTTGAACTTCCATATTGGAAGAGTCTGTTGTTGCGACATAATTTGGATGTTATGCATATTGAAAAAATATATGTGATAATATTATGGGGACAATCATGAATGTCAAAGGAAAGACCAAGGACACAATTAATACTCGGTTAGATTTGCAAGCAATGAACATTAGGCCAGAATTGCACCCTCTCCAAAAGGGGGAGAAAATTGAAGTTCCAAATGCATGCAAGACATTATCTCCCGAAAATAAGTACATGTTATGCCTTTTCCTAAAGAATCTAAAGGTTCCTGATGGATTTTCATCTAATATTTCTCAATGTGTGAACCTGAAAGATCACAAGATATCTGGGTTGAAAAGTCATGATTGTTATGTTCTTCTACAACATCTACTGCCTCTTGCATTTCGTGGTATGTTGTCTAAAGAAGTTTGTGAACCTCTTATTGAGCTATCTTTATTTGTTTGTATTCTTGGATCAAAGGAGTTGAGATAACTTGGAACATATTGAAGCTCAAATTCCCATTACACTGTGCAAGTTAGAAAAGATCTTCCCACCTTCATTTTACAATGTCATGGTTAACTTACCTATTCATTTAGCTACTGAAGCTAAGATTGCTGGACCGATTCATTATCGATGTATGTATCCTGTGGAACGACGGTTATATTTTCTAAAATCTTTCATTGGTAATAGGGCATGTCCTGAAGGTTGTATTGGAGAGGGCTACTTTGCAAATGAATGTATGACCTTATGTTCAAGGTATCTACATAGAATTGACACAAAATTTAATCGGCTTGAACGAAATTATGATGGGGTTTAAAGCAATCTAATGGACGTTTATCACTATTCTGTCAACCCGGAAAAACTCTAGGAGCTAAAACTCCATTTGAGCTTGAAGCAGATGAATTAGAACAAGTACACATATACATATTGAAGAATTGTGATGAAGTCTTACCATATCTCGAGTATGGAGAGTTATTTCATATCTTCTTATTATTATTTCCATAGGATTATTTCTTTTTTGAAATTTATAGTTCACTTCAATTTTGTAGAGAGTTTGCACAAACTCATGAGAATGATCGCCACTTGTCTGATGTAGAATGGAATCGACAATTTATTGAATGGTTTAAAGATACGGTGAGTAATACATAAACTTAAAATTTGATATTTTAATATTGTAGTAGTCATTCTAATGTAACATCCTAATTGTGATGATAGGTTGCACAATTGCATAAAGGAGATTCTAGTCGTATCATGGAAGATCTTCTCTCGCTTTCACGCGGTCCTACACGATATTCAACGCATTCTAATAGTTACATTGTTAATGGATATAGATTTCATGTAGAAGATTATGATAAAAAGTTAAGGACTCAAAATTGTGGCGTCGTTGTATTGTGTGAGAATGATAAAGATAGTGAGAACCTTGATTACTATGGAGTTTTAACATATGTGATTGAGTTGCAATTTGTCATGGATAGAAGAGTGACTTTATTTCGTTGTAATTGGTTTGATGTGTATGATGAAATAAAAGGAGTTAAGAAAGATGAGTATGATTTCGTGAGTGTTAATCCGGATAGATTCTTGAAAACAAATGAGCCATTTGTTTTAGAGGACCAAGCATCACAAGTGTTTTATGCTAATGATAATTTCTACAAAGGTTGGCAAGTAGTGAGAAAGACTAAACCTCGTGATTCCTATGAGATTGTGGAACAAATGGATCATGATATTGTAGAGTTAGGAAGTCCTTCACAAAAGAAACGTAAACGAACTAATGAGGTGAAGTATATTTTTATGAATTAATATATTCACTATTACACTTTACGATGACATGATTTATTTTATTCCTACATTGTCGCAATTTTTTATTTTATTTTTAAATTTTTGGCTCTTTTTTCAGATTCAAGATGAAAAGGTTGACTCATCTATGAAGAGTACTATCAAATATACATTTGTCGCACATGGTGCTATTGGAAAGGGACGAGGACGAGGGCTTAAATCTTTGGCTGAGAGAAGAAATTTACCAGCTAAGAGTTATGTTTCTCAATCTAGTGATCTGGTTAATCAGTACATCCAAGAAATTGAAACAAGTAAGAAATTTGTCAACTACGAGTTATGTTTCTCAAAAATAATCTTCTAAAGTATTGATAATATGATTTGTTTTCTCCATGTTGTGTAGTGAAGGGATGAGGACAAGGACTTACAAACTATACTTTGTTTACTAGTCAAGGAATGACAACGATACCTAAGAACTCCATTGATCTTGAGAAAGAGAACAAGCAAACTAACCCCTCAGCTCATGCATCGACTAATCTAGGTAAGAAATACACCCAAGAAGTCTAGACAGGTAATATTTTTGGAAATCTGCTATGTTTTGAAATTAAAGTTCAAGTTTGTCTGTAATACCTTTGAGCTATTTTCAGTTTCTTACTTTCCAGATGTAGCACATCGTAGCTCCCCAAAGAGCAACCACCATTTCCGTCTTAAACTTCTTCTAGTTAAAGAAGAGGATGAAACATACTTGATATGCTGAAAACTTGTTTTCATAGTTCTTACAACTTCTCGCTCTACAAAAAGGAATAAAGTATTGATAATATGATTTGTTTTCTCCATGTTGTGTAGGGCAGGGACGAGGATAAAGAATTACAAACTCTACTTTGTTTACTAGTCAAGGAATGCCAACTATACCTAAGAACTCCATCGATCATGAGAAAGAGAACAAGCAAACTAACCCCTCAGCTCATGCATCAATTAATCTAGGTAAGCAATACACTCAAGAAGTCTAGACAAGTAAGATTTTTGGAAATCTGCTATGTTTTCAAATAAAAGTTCAAGTTTGTCTATAATACCTTTGAGCTATTTTCAGTTCCTTACTTTCTAGATGTAGCACATCGTAGCTCCCCAAAAAGCAACCACCATTTCCGTCTTAAACTTCTTCTAGTTAAAGAAGAGGATGAAACATACTTGATATTCTGAAAACTTGTTTTCATATTTCTTACAGCTTCTCGCTCTCAAAAGGAATAATTTATTGATAATATGATTAGTTTCTCCATGTTGTGTAGGGAAGGGCCGTGGACAAGGAATTACAAACTCTACTTTGTTTACTAGTCAAGGAATGCCAACGATACCTAAGAACTCCATCGATCTTGAGAAAGAGAACAAGCAAACTAACCCCTCAGCTCATGCATCGACTAATCTAGGTAAGAAATACACCCAAGAAGTCTAGACAAGTAATATTTTTGGAAATCTGCTATGTTTTCAAATAAAAGTTCAAGTTTGTCTATAATACCTTTGAGCTATTTTCAGTTCCTTACTTTCTAGATGTAGCACATCGTAGCTCCCCAAAGAGCAACCACCATTTCCGTCTTAAACTTCTTCTAGTTAAAGAAGAGGGTGAAACATACTTGATATGCTGAAAACTTGTTGATACGTAAGAACTCCATCGATCTTGAGAAAGAGAACAAGCAAACTAACCCCTCAGATCATGCATCGACTAATCTAGGTAGCAATACACCCAAGAAGTCTAGATAAGAGTTTTTTGGAATCTGTTATGTTTTCAAATAAAAGTTCAAGTTTGTCTGTAATAACTTTGAACTATTTTCAGTTCCATACTTTCCTATTTCATGTCTGAATCCATTTTATTCTCTTCTGTGTATTACTCTTTTAAATTTCTCTATTACGCTATGTTTTTTCGTATTTAACAATCTAATCTTCTCTGTAAGTACTTGTCAATTTTTTTTCAGTTTCTTCAGCTCTGAAACACTATGCTAAAGTATTGGTAATATGATTTGATTTATCGAGCTTCTATAGGGAAAGGAAAAGGACAAGGACCTAAATGCTCTACTTTTTTGACTAGTCAAAGAATGGGAATGAAACATAACAACAACATGGCTTCTGAATCTGAGGTGGGATGTATTAACAAGAGTTCTCTTTATGCTAATCAACATACAAAAAAACTCCTTCTAAATGAACAAGAGCGAATTCAGCCATGTTATCTAGTCAAGAAATGCAAATAATGGATAAAATGATTCTTGACAAAGAGGTTATGCAAACTATTAATCAGGTTATGGAACACTCTCAAACAATTGAAAAAGGTGCGATATTTTCAATCCATATCTAATTATTTTATAAAGCTGAATTTGATTGTTATAGTTCTTACTAAATTATGCAATGTAAGTTCATCTAATCCTACAAAGGTAAGAAGAGTTCGAGGGAGCAACATGTGCAAAGAAGTTGCTTCACTTGAAAACGGAGAAAAGCTTAAAGTAATATTTTACAATAATCGAACTGTTGGAACAAATAGCAAATTGTTTTTGAGGCATTTAGAAAAAATTGTTTATGATCGTAATATGTGTTCGTTGGGAGTAACCTCGTGGAGTGATATTAAGCCTGAAAAGTTAAGTCACATGTGGGCAGCTGTTGAGGTAACAAATTTTAACTCCATTCAAATCTTCCATTAACATAAGTTGACAGGGATCTGCCTATAATATTTGTCTAACAAATTTGTTCTGCAATGTCCCCTGTTTTGTGTTTTTCTATTGTACAATATAAGCTTCTCTAGTTTTTTCTTTCAGTTTTGCAATTTCTTTCTCTACTTTGTATTGCTTTCTATGTTATGCTCTGTTTATTTCTTAACAGTTAAATGAGAAGTGTTCTAAAAAGCAAGAAAAGTGATCCTTAATCTTACACAATTAACATCCTAAAGGAATGAGGATAGTAAAGGAACTACATCTAACGAAATTTCCTAGACTTCTTATCTTATTTACTTTTGAACTGCTGCTTATTATACTAGAAGAACATATCTTTCTCATTTTGTTGTCCTTTCTTGATTCTTCTCCCTTGGTAATAACTCAACTCATGTCCCGATTTTCGTATCACAAATTTGAGGTTGTTGACATGAATGATCATCGTGATCATATCTTTGGATGGATGAATGAGTTATGGAACGAATGGAGAGGACA